AACGAAAATGAAAATTTGCTTGATAATTCAACTACGCTTGTTGGAGAACAATAAAAACACTACACTCAACAAGCCACCAATAAAACTCAACTGCCTAACCTATAACCAAAGTCTCCTTTTAATTTGTTTTTTAAAAAAAGCGCTTGACAAACTTGCCCCGCATGCCGAAGTTGCCCCGATCTCCCCTATATATACGTTATATCAAAAACAATTTACAATACAGTAGATACCATTTAACGCATAAAATGTTAAAGGATACATACAATATAAATATTTAAAAATTCGCTTTTTTTCCACATTTCGGCATTGTTTCTTCCTACGTTGCGAATGCCATCGTTTCAATTTATCACGTATAACTTAGTAATCATTTTCAAAAAATAAACTAAAATAGTAATATATAATATATTGATAGAATATTAATTTAACGAATTTAAAATAACTTCCTAAGATAAAGTTGGACAGTTTTGCGCCCGAAAAAGCCGAGTAGATAAAACCATTGAGTACTGATAGGTCCACGTTTCTTATTGAAAGTTCTTCCTGAAGGCCTCCCTTTTAGCAAATCGCCCATGTGTTGCGTTGCTATAATCCACCAAACCAAAGCCAAATTTGGAGATCTAATGTCGAATCCGGAAGGTCGAAAAGCCCCAAGAATTTTTGGGGATTGTCTATCCCATATGTGTTATGTCCCGTCCCTCATCATCTGGTGGCTTGAACTCCTGATGGGCTTGAAAAAGTGCTCTCTTAGTGTCCACAAAACAGAAAAAGTAAAAAGTCTCTTCTGATATTATAGATATTTAAATTTTATTTTTAATTTAAATTACTATACTGTAAATTATATATTTTCTTTTTAACTATAGCATTCAAATGATTATTATGATCCGAACACATATGATGTGCAATACGTAGAAACTGACATCAGTGTTTTAGATCAAAGAGAGAGAGTGGTTAAGAAACCATCAATTATATTATGTCTATGGACTAGCATTTCGCAAAATTCTAGGCGTAAAGGACCTTCCTTCACTGAATTCGGCTATTCTTTGCAATTACCTGACACATTATTGTTAACTATTTGTGCTGTGCGTGTGTTACATACAACATTCGATCCATTTTCGAGTGATTGTACGATTACGCCAGATTCAGATACGGAATTATATTCTCAATCAATTAAAGAAGGAGCATCGACTGAAAGTGATATAGGAGCATCGACTGAAAGTGATATAGGAACGCCGTCTTCAAATGCTACAGGTTTGTAAATATTGTATTCAACATAAATAATTTTGGTGCACTTTGCAATTAAATTCATTTAATTCAAGAAAGGCAAAGAAAATATTTAGAAGCATTTGAAGTGCCGAAAAGATATACACGCCAAAGCTCAAATCTAAAATTGGACATTTCAACTAAGTATATTAAGAAAGGTTTGCGAAGAAGGAAACGTAAACCTAAATCCAAAGTAAGCATTTTTATTACATTTTATACTAGCAAATCCCGCCACGCCTTGTTGTGGCTCAAAATGTATCTATTATAAATGTATAACACTTCCCCCGTGGGGGAAAATTTTTCGAAAAAATTTTTTTTAGTGTACATTCTCTTGACGTACCCTATTAAAACGCAATCAAAAACTCAAAAACCCGCATTTAAAATAGTATAATAGAAGCCAAGTTCTTCACAGTAAGCCTTAATCCTGTCTCTCTCTCCCGCAGAGGGAATATCGAAAAATCCCTTCTTTGTGTACATTCTGTTGACGTACTCTATTAAAACGCAATCAAAAACGCAAAGACCCGCATCTAAAATAGTATAATAGAAGCCAAGTTTTTCAGAGTAAGCCTTAATCCTGTCTCTCTCCCCCGCGGGGGGAATATCGAAAAATCCCTTCTTTGTGTACATTCTGTTGACGTACTCTATTAAAACGCAATCAAAAACGCAAAAAACCGCATCTAAAATAGTATAAATAGAAGCAGAGTTCTTTACGGTAACCTTTTCCGTAAGGCTTACCGTAAAGAACTATCCATCTCCCATGTTTAACGGAATAATATACAGCCTATGTCCACCCTGAAGTTCCATTCTAAATATTGGTGAAAGAATTTTTGAAATCGGATGAGTAGTTTCGGAGATTACCTGCTGCATANAATAATATACAGCCTATGTCCACCCTGAAGTTCCATTCTAAATATTGGTGAAAGAATTTTTGAAATCGGATGAGTAGTTTCGGAGATTACCTGCTGCGTACAAACTAACATACATACAAATATTACCTCTTTATAATATTAGTATAGATTATCGTATATAATAAAGTTTATAATTTGTTTTCTCGACATAATTAACATATTGCTTAGATTTGATCAAATAAAAATATACAGTCGACCCCTCTATAACGCGGTAGATACGTTCCACTTTATAAGAATTTCGCGTAGTAGGAATCCTTAAATACATGAGCCAATCACAGCCCGGCACGTGTGCACTTTACGGACTACGGCAGTTTGAAAGGTTTTCTTCCGTAAAATTAATCGATTCTAGACTAATCCGACTCAACACTTCCAAAACACGTATAATTTTTTGGGAATAATCCGTATAAACTATGCTACAAACAAAAAATTGTAGGATTACTTACCGAGTGTGCACTATTCGACGTCGCTATTGCTCAAGCTTGTTTCGTCGCGGAGCATCGCACCAAACGGCGGGCGATTTCTGATAAGTTATTTTTCTGCGAAAAATTCGTTGAACTTTGGAGACATCATTAATAGAAATAATTTTTATGGCCGTTGAATAAGAAATGTATAAAATTAAAGTACAGCGATACCCCGAACTTACGCGATAGGTGGGACCGAGCGATAACCGCGTAAGTCGAATTCGCGTAAGTCGTGGTATAATTTCGCAATTTGTGTAAAACTCAAGTCGGATGTATGTAAGCTAATAAATGTTCTCGTTAATCTTATCTCGTCTTTTGATTCGTTCACGGTTAGAAGAAATCACCACATAGAGTCTCTCAAGTTTCCGTAGATATAACAAACACAGAAATAAATAACACAAAATAAATTGTGGTTATGTGTCGATTCCGCGCGACACGTCTGAACATGTAAGCCGAACAATAGTGTGGGGGGATTGAGTAATCGAGAGTTGCTTGGCGCTCAAACAAAAGTCGAATCGACGAGATTTGAAAATCGCGTAACTCCGGGTTCGCGTAAGTCGAGGTATTACTGTACTGTATTAGACTTACAGTACCTAATTTATATACTGTACAGACGATAGTAAACTCAACTTTCCCGCCTAAACTCTCCGTAGCGTGTAAGTAGTTCGGCTGTTCATCTACTATTGGTCTAGATTCGACCAATCCTGTCGCGACACGAGTCGGCGATGACGTTTTACCGCATTTTACGAGTCTCTGTTACTGTCTTTATACGAATCCGCATTATATGAGCCCGCGTTATAGGGAGTCTACTGTATTTTATTCTTATCGACATTATTCTCGTACACTCGTTGACAACATGCGTTGTTAAAAACGAAGAATCAAGTAGGAGGCAGAATATTTGCAACTGTCTGTAGTTCTCATCTTACCTGGTTGTCATTGCAATTATTCTCACTGAAACATATTTTGGATTTTAAATACCAATTACACTCCTCAAAAGTGAAATCTCAACACCACGAAGAAATGTGCGTTGTGACATGCACATTGCAGGACCGGTAAAGGTGAGAGATTTGCAAATAATTAAAAGAACAAAGATATACGACAGAGACCTGTTTATTCAGTAAGGAATATGGTCAACACGGGCAACCACGCAAACCGCTGTATGGAGAAGCCTACAGCGTTCTGTGTAGCTCTCCAGGTATATGAATGATGTGATTAATGATTGCTTGAGGTATCCACTGCGGTGCGCATGTCGCCTATGATTTGTGATGATGGTCACCAGTGCACCTCACATCGTACGAGATCCCAGAGATGTTCGATAGGAGAGAGATCCGGCGAGGCTGCTGGCTAGGAAAGGATGTTAATTTCGTTCAGACTGGTGAGAGTTTGCTGTGCGACGTGCGGTCGGGCATTGTCTTGCTGCAACACCGTATTAAGTGCGTCCTTCACCAGTGGCCAAACCACAGGCCCCCACAATTCATGTGACGTATTGGTCCGCTGTCAGAGTACCGAAAATGTGCACCAAGGCTGTCCGCTGATTGAACATGATGCCTCTTCAAACTATGTGGGGCCGATTTTACGCTCAGCGAAAAGGGCTAGCATGTAGCATTCTCAGGGATTTCGCCACACCAGTCTTAAGACAGAGATTCATCAGCAGGATTCATCTATAGACAATAACTAATGCCATTCAGTGGTACAGTTGAGATGACGACGACACCATACCAGGCTTGCAGTCCTACGTCAAGCGGTTAATGGCACCCTCGTTGCTGAAACCCCATCATGGTGCAGCTCGACTTCATGCAACCACAGATTAACCCGTTGACGGCGATAGGCGACTTCGGATGTCACGTGCTGTGGCGAACGAGTCCCGATGGGACCCAAAGTGGGAAGGGATCACAACCTGCGCTCTGTCTTGCGCGAGTGCGATCCACTACCTCTTCGGCGTATTTGCAGATGTTCTTGCGTCCATCATTTACGTCCATATTGCTGGATGGTATTCGTGTCATTGCTGGATGCCTAACACGCGTGGCAACTGCGCCCATCGACAAACCGAGGTCACGCAACTCAAGGATATGCTTTCATTTCCCAGCCGTTAACTGGTGGTATTCAGCTCGCTGTTGTCTCCGAGACATTTTCTACGCTTCTTCGAAAGTTTGGTTGCCGTGAACCGTCGTTGATAGAACATTTATGGCCCGAGTCGGCTGCTAATCTTTATAGTACAAAATTGGGTAGACTACCACATGACCCGATGGGTACGCAAACTCAATTAAATTGCAGGACCTCTACCGGTCCTGCAATTTGCATGTGGCTAAGCGTATTCCTGCGTGGTGTTGCGATTTCGCTTTTGAGTGTACTAATTAACAATTCTTTCTAAAAACATTGTGAATAGCTTTATGTTTTCTTAAATACCAGGTGGTAATTAAAGTATTCCTATTCAACGCTATCTAGAGATATATAAAGCAGCCCAAATGCAACTAAATTTTGCATAGTAATATTAGAAGATATCAATAAAAAAGAAAATAAATTTATATCGAAACTCGCCACTGTGGCATATTTCGTGTTGGCACGAAAAAGCAATTTTATTCGTAGAATTTAAAGAAATGTGATTTATCGAGGTTATGTTACAAATTTGGCAGTCTTGAAAGACAATATCACATGAAGTTTGATACTTTTACATCGCTAAGTATCACAGAGGAGCAATTACGGTTAGGCTTACCAGACGCCCCGCTTTGACCGGAACTGTCCCTGTTTGGTGATGTGGTTCCTGCATTCCGACATGTTTATCAGTTTGTCCCGAAAATTTTAAAAGTGCCGAATATTCAAGAAGTAAAAATAGTACAGCCTCGGGTAAAATGGCGATTTGGCAACGAAAATATCCTCTCTGTTACACTAAATGTTGCCATTCTAAATATTTTGTATCTAGAAATAAGTACAGTACTTTTAATGTTGTCTAGATGTTCCCCCAAAATGTATAGCATGTGGCCTAATGAGTTTAGATGTTTTATTTTTTCATAGGTATTTTTTTTACAGAATTTACAATAGTGTGTAGCCTATGAGATACAGAAATTTTTATTTCATTTTTTTAGATATTTGTTTCAATTAGAATTAGTAACACTGAAGCTTACACTGGCCACATCATTGTTGCATACGTCCTATAGTAATCGAGTTCAAATTGCTAGTTGGCATTTGCGATTATTTTGTACTGTACATTAAATTAATTTCATCTCCAAAATTCCAAAAATAAATTGTGTGTGAACGTAATTGTCCCAATTTAAGAAATATATGGTAAGCCTAGTTATGGTCGGACATTGAACACACTGTTCAACCTTCAGGTTTTATAATTGAGACTATATTGAGCAGTATCTCCTGCATCTGATCGATGACCGAATGCTTGCGAAGTTAACGTTTACGATCATCAGCACCAGCCTAGTTTCTATTAGTTCTGGGATCGAATACGGACTGTTGAAAAACCCAGAAATTTTAATCGAGCGGTCCGTTTTGAATGCATATTTTTCATTCCTGTATTGTACTCGTTAGTTTATAACTGCTTCTGAGTTATTGGGCTATTTGAAGACATTCTAGACCTATAAATTTCCACTTTCGTCTGTTTGTCATCTGTCTTTCCTTGATCTCGAGAATGGAATAAGATAGATGAAAGACGAGACCAGATATGGAAACCTGGAAACCTTAGGGACAGAAGGCCACGATTAACTATATACAAACTTCCGATGCAAACCGGAAGTCATGTTATATTCAAAAATTTTTCCTTAAAAGCTGTTAAATAGATAACCGGCACGACACTATTGTTAAAGGTAAAGTATGATGTA